AACAATACCAGTATACTCTAGATCTATTGAGCCTAGCAGAGACTAGTTAAACACCCTGAGACTAGTAGTAATAAGAGTAAGATTAGGATCGGTATTAGACTAAGAAGTTGCACGAATCTATCCGGCCGAAAATAAGATAGCGTGACGAGCAGACGGTGTACCCTATCCGAAATTACTCTATGAGCTAGACCTCCATACCTAACTCACAGCGAATATAGTATTTTTTCCTACTTAATAAGTTAAAGGATGGAATTGCTTACAGCCCTGATCGAAGTTCGGGACTAATTTTTTGACTTTGTTGATCGCGGAAATGTTAGTTTGATGACCGAAAGTCCTTGGACGGGGCAGGTTTAAAGCCGCGGACATACTCTGGAACTACCGTATCTCGCGGTCACGATGGAAAAAAAATATCTTAATCGCAAACTGAGTCTGGAAATAGCGCATCTCGGTCAGGGATATCAAAAAACTAAGCGCGCTGTTCAACAAAATGGTCGCGGTGGTCAGACAAAAGTCGCGGCTTGGTCAAAAAATCAGTCGCAACCGCCGAAAATTTAGTCGCGGTGGTCAGAAAAATCGGCGCTGCGGTTGAAAAGCTCGTCGAGGCAAGGTCGAAAAAATAGTCACGTGCATACATAAATACATACACACATACATACATATATATATATATAAACGTACATAAATACTTAGATACGTACACACCTGCACACCTCGGTTAACACAGTCGAGTTTTGTATATCGGTTGATTTATTCCTTTTCGTTTTGAAACAATCCTGAGTCGAGTGTTTTAACTGTCGAAATCTTTCGAAATGGGTTTCTCCAGTCGTTTTTCCCCATTTTTTCCCCGTTAGTTTTTCATGGATCGCGCTGATCGCGATAAACAATTCTCTGGCCAGGCTGGTTGCGTACACGTTGGCTTGGTCCTCAAAGTCAGGAATTACCAAACTTTGATCGCGATGGTCTTAAAATTTTACAATTTTGTCGCGATCGCCTGATAATAAAACCACAACCTCAACCTGACGGTGTTGGAATCACTTGAATCCCAGAAACGGCATTTAGTTGTTCTGATGAAATGGTGCTTAAGGGTTTGAGTTATCTTGTTAATTCAGCAGTCGAGACCAAAAAGCATTCCAGCTATTGATAAAAAATAAGGTGTTCTTCTGAAAAAACTCAGACAAGATTCAGAATAACTTTGATCAAGCCTGTGCTATCCAATTTCTGCTACCGTTTTTGTTATTGTAACGCGCATTTTTGACGCATAGTTGCAAAAGTGTTTCTTTGAAGTTTCAATTTCAAGTTTCCAGTAACAGCTGGTGGGGCTTTCTATGGCACTCTGATTATATCTGATGTATCACTGGTTTTCCCTTGTTGAAACCCATGAAAACTTTTAGTTGAGCTTTATGATTTTTGAGGCCAAAAACAGCCGTTCACTATCTGTTTAAAGGGCTAAGATCAGGGCCTTTAGCCGGTTGATACTCTTACGTAGGCTGTAATTATTGGACTTCATTGATTCAGTTCTCTGAATTTGTTAAACATGATAGAATTATGTAATTCCTTTGATACTTTATCAGTACTGTCTTCCAATAATTGGGAGTAGGGTGGGTCACAGTACCCTTCTTCGTACTTAACATAGTGAACGGTGTAGGGATTGTTCATGATTGGTCACAAAACTAGAGTCAGGCTCACGAAAAGGACATAACCCTAGCTTAGCCCGTGGAGGTCGGAACGCTAAATATATGTTCAAAAAAAGATTTTGGGAAAATGGATTAAGAAAATGAATTATTTTGAGTTAAAAAAAGACTTGAAATTTGCACAACTCAGTTGTAGATACCTATCTTGAACTTGGTACCTTTAACTAGTGTAGACAGCGGAAGAAGTTGGTTACGTAGAGCTTGTAGGGATGATATCAACTCTAAATGTAACAACAACACGTTTAGAAAAACATTTTAATGTATAACAAACAGTTTAAAAATGGACAAAACAAATATTGCGATGTCAGCAAAAATTTGGATTACAAAATTGCTGAGAAAAACTGAGCAAGTTAGAGAGAAAAGATTGTCTGCAAGCGCGTCAAAATTGCTGAAAGTGAGGCTAAATGATTTTCGCAATAAGCATCATTAGTGAAGATAGTTAGGTTATGCAGGTTAACGAGTTTGTCAGTGAACGAGTAATTGCTTAATTGAGTTCTCTCGGAAAAAAAATACTAGTGAGTTGAGTTGAATTTTAGAGATTGTGTTTATAATCGTGGACCCTTTGCTTTTATTAGATTTTGTTCTGGCCATTTTGGAGCCTTTTTATTTTGATTTATAAAAATTGGAAATTGATTTTATCTGAAAAACATGCGATTGCGAGTGCAAACAATACAACCATGGGAACAGCGACAAAAAGACGTGCGACGTTACAAGAGAAAGGATTTTCGCTACCAACTTAATTCTTTCAGGGTTGCAGATAGTAATGAATCTCGGTCGCCTCGCTGAATTATCCACCAGAGGACCCCTTTGTGGTGTCACTAAATATTAGAGCGAGCAGACATAGAGAAGCAATCCCTTAAGTCTATATTGTGGCTTATCGATGTGCCATATTCAGATTTTTAGTTGCCAATTGCGTGTCGTGGTTGACGGAGACCAATTTGCTCGAGGGTGACATACGTAGAGCAGGCAACAGGTTTTGTTTAGATTCTAAAAGACGATATGACCCGACATTTTCCGTCTGTTAGTTTTCTGAACTGGGCAGACTGGAGAAAACATTTCGCTTGAATTGCAGACGCCAACCGGTGGGAAAACGTTAAGATGATGCAGCCTACTTGTTGAACTGCCTGAACCATTGATGAGTTCAAAGCAGGTCGGCCTATTTCAGGGAGGAAGACGACTGGTTTCAGGATGCTGGCAGAATCCGATCGACGATTGATTCCGTTACAGCCACAGCCCTAGTCGATTTTTTTCACCTAATTTGAAGCAAGATTTGAGCGGTTTTTTTAAGATAATTACGCTCAAAATTTTGCTTCAAAATGAGCGGTTTGAGCGGTAAAACTGTGCATAAAACCTGGTTTTAAAACCTCGTTTTTGATGAGCAAGGTGTTTTAAATTGAGCAAAAGCTCTCTCAATTATTTAAATTCGATTAGAAACAAGTTTTAACATGTTTTTGATTATCTTGCCTTTTATGAAAAATTGGTTATCATACAATTTTCATATATGGAAATTGTATGATAACCATTTTTTTTGGTTCAAATTAAATTTTCGTTTTTGATGAGCAATGTCCTTTAAATTGAGCAAAAGCACTCATAAAAAATTTAAATTTGTTTATGAACAAGTTTGAACAATTTGAAAATCTTGCCTTACATGAAAAATGGTTATCATACAATTTTCATATATGGAAATTGTATGACATCCATTTTTTTTTTCAAAAAAAATAAACGTAAATATTTTTCATCACCAGACTGTTGTATTTGGTTCAAATAGCCGGTGAAACTAGATTGAATCTTTTTTCAAAGGTTTTTTGAAATTGTATGAAAATTGTATGATTAGCATTTTTCAGTACATTTGATGCAGGTAATTGTATGATAAGCTTTTTCGGTGTGTAGAAATGTAAGATAAGCACTTTCGGTTTATGGAGGTCAACCCGTGGTCACATTACCTTTCCAGGCCTTTTTGTTGGTTTTAATCGGTTTTCTTTATAAGACCGCTCAAAAACCGTTTAAAAACCGCTCAAATCTTGCTTGAAAACCCGTTCAAAAATCACCGCAAGAAATGAGCGGTTTTTGAGCGGTTTTTTAAGCAAGGTTTGAGCGGGTTGAGCGGTTTTTCCAAAAAAAACGCCCAAACTGCTCAAACCGCTCAAATCTTGCTGAAAAACCGCTCAAACCGCTCATATCTTGAGCGATTTTTGAGCGGGATCTCGACCCAGGCGGCAGGGGCCAGAGAGGAGTTCAAAAGCCTGATGCAGAGCGATGACTAAGATCTCTGGGGGTTTTTCAGAAGAGTCAGATCACTCGGCGATCTTTCGTTCAGATCTCTCGGCAAATGCGATCGTCGGGATCAATCAATTCCTCAGAGGATTGGATGGCGTGGATATGCAACATTTCCTTCTACAAGAAGAATTAAGGATTCTAGCCCAGGAACTACCGAACAAGACTTTTAGGGTTAGCAACCGGATGAGGCTGCATTTTTCTTTAGTGATATTCAAGAAAAGTGAGAAATTTTGCAGAAGAGTGCCTGAACATCTGCTGGTTGTTACCTTGATCTGAAAAAAACGCACAGTCTCCGCTTTGGTCTGGAAAGTCGCGTCGTTTCCTTCTTGGTCGTGAGGATGTGATTTTTTGTCGCGCCATCTCCGCCTTGGTCTGGAAAGTCTCAACGTCTCCGCTTTGGTCTGGAAAATCTCAACGAATCCGCTTCGGTCTGGAAAGTCTCAACGAATCCGCTTCGGTCTGGAAAGTCGCACCGCATCCACCACAGTCGCGAAGAATTGATTCTTGGTCGCATCGTCTCGGCCTCTGTCTGGAAAGTCGCGCCGTCTCCGCCTTGCTCTCAAAAAACGCGCCATCTCCGCCTTGGTATAGGAAGTCGCGTCGTCTCCAATCTGAACGCGAAAGTTGCGCCGCTTCCACCACATTCGCGAAAGTCTTGAGTTTGCCATTTTGGTTGCTCTGGCCAGGCTGGTCGCGCCATTGCTTTTTGAGACGCGCAGTTTCCCGATTCGCACCTTATTCATCTCGCGAAAGCCCTGAAAAACTTTTTCTTAGTCTCGCCGTCTTCAGGCTTTCTGGAAATTCGCGCCCATTCCATCTCGATCTCTTTCTGGAAAGTCTGGAAATGGCTGAGTTTGATCGCGAAAGTCGCGCCTGAGTTTTTTGGTTGTCAATGTCTGGGCATATCAAATAAGAGTCGCGAAAGTCTGGGCATGAGTCTGGCGATTTCTTAGAATAATACGATTATACCGAAAGCAATTGACATTTCAATCTAATGCGATGAGTGACGTGTTATTTGTGTGCGTTTTTCAGTGAAGTGTCCTAAAGGTTTCTCGAATGTGGAGAATGTGGTGAAGGTGAAGTGCTTCAATGTGAGTGGGCAGAAGGCGCCCTCCTTTCTCGCGGCGCAGGCCATATGCCACCAAATGTGAGTCAATTCTTCAACTTGTTCTTTAGGCAGTATAGGGGCGTAGCGATTAGCATGCGTGTGCGTATTATTAGCATGATCTAATTGCTTTAAATGGCCGGGTGTGCCATCTGACGAAAAACAAACTAGCCTAAATTTTTAATTAGTTTCGACAACCACGTTGTAAGGGGAATTAAAACTTCTCTTTCGCCTAACTAAAGTTTCGGCCAAGTTCACGCTATTCAAAATAACAAATATGAGTAAACAAAACGTGAAATAGCGAATCTTCGAACTGCCTTCTATTACATATGTGCATACTCAGTGTCGATGTTAACTTGATCCGAGTGACCTGTTTTGGAATACATGTAGACTTAGTTCTAATTCTGGGTCGGCCTAAATCAGAAGTGTTTGTCATTTTCAGGTCTACATTTCAGAATGTGCAATTGTTTCTGCTCCTTGAAAGAATTGATTGAAAGTTTTTGATATGCACAAGGGAGGGTTAGTTGTTAGAGATGAATAACGGCGACAGAGACTTAAGAGCACCAGCAACCCCTTGAAAGGTATAGCAAGTGTGATTTGTGTGTGCTTGTATTGGTAGTCACCCTCATGCCCACCCATTGGAAGTGGACAGTGCAGAGGAGTTGAACAACATCTCCTCCTGGCTAGAGGGGGAAAGGGAGAAGGGTAGTGTTGGGGAGGGGTGGGTGTGGACCAACTTCAGACGCTGGAACGAGACTAGGGCCAAGAAGGAGAACCAGACCCACTTCGAAGAGGGCAAACCCAAAACCAGAGTTTTTTTTCTTAAGAGTCCCTTGAAATGGGCTAAAGACAAGTTCAAGAAGGTGAAAAACACGTTCAAGAATGCGGGAAAAAAGGTAAGTTAACGAAGGACCTTTCATATCGATAGACTGGTTTCGGTTGATAGTGCACCGTCTATTTGTCGCGCTCTTTATTTAAAGGCGTATTAGCTTGGTGCAACTCCTTATATTTCTGATACTATTCCGTATTTTTTTTTTCGTAGTCTCAGTTGATCTAAAGCGGTCTGATCGCAAAAACGAACTGATCAGTTACCAAATATATTCTAGTTTTTGTTAACGGATTGTGTACTTACCCGCCTGATTATTAATTATTTGTACTTACCCGCACTGACGAAAATGGAATAGAATTGATTTTACTTTGAAAAAAATATGTTGAAAAATATTAGATCGAATTTAGTATGAAAAAAGTACAAATATTAAATAAAAAAGATGGTGGTTGGTTTAGATCGAGTTAAAATTAAATTGATCGTTAATCCAAGCTACAAAAATTGTTTTATATCCATTTCACCCCATTTTTTTCCAGTTTCAATTTGTTTCAATTTTTAAGGAGACTAAAACGGATTTAAATCGATTAAAGTCGATTTTTTATTCGACTTTTATCAGTTTCAAATTGTAATTGTATTTATTTATTTCCTATCGTTTTTCATTTTACATCCATAGCGTTTTGTAGCATGAAAAAGACCAAATAAAAAACATCGAAAAAACTCTATGATTTCTTTGCATAATTTGAGTTGAAAAAATGATCTATACTGACCCTTTTCTTGATTCGTTTCTGCACGAAATCGGCACAAAATTCGCTCAAAATTTGATTGTCTTTTATGATTTTTAATGCTTTAATTGCCTTTTATTGAGATCAAAAAACAATTTATTCTGATTCTTTTCTTGTTTGTTACATAAGATTTTGCCCATAGTCTGATATACATTGACTGTCTTTGATTGCATTGCAATTTTTGAGCTTAAAATCTGATTTATGTTTATTATATTATTGAATTCCATAACATCTGGCATGTTTTTTTATAATGTAAAAAAAATTTCAAATTTTTTTCTAAAGAGTTTGTTTTTTTGCCGTTTTTTTGCCGTTTTATTGAGCCTGAAAATCTATCGATTTAACTCTAGTTGCTATCTAGTTTTCGGCCGGATAGTTCCGCCAGCTTCTTAGTCTAAAAACAATTCTGATCTTTCTTTTATAATTTCTAGTCTCAATAGATCTAGAAAACACAGTTGTTCTTCCAAGATTAGAGGAGAGAAGGAAGCAATTGAATACGATTTGAATTTTAATTTTCTCTGGCTGAAACTATGAATAGTTTCAGCTGTACAATTCAAAATAAAAACCAGTAAAGGATCAAAATTGGTTATCTATAAAGATTTTGCAGTGATAGATATCAAGGTATGTTATAATTATTTGTTTTGAACTGGTTCCACTCATCCTCGATTCAAAAGTTTTTTTGAATCAAAGTTTTTTCTTGTGAAGGAACGATAAAGTATTTTCTTGTGGGTTTAAGGAGAGTGTAGAGTGATTGGGCCAGCAAAGTACATGTAATGAGATTGAGAGATTGACATGAAAGCAAGAAGATCGTACTGATGTTGCAGATCTGTGTTAAAATAGTGTCGATTTTGTAACATAGAGCGAAATCAGGCGCATTCTTAACTATTCGTTGGTATTGATCGAGTAGCGAGACAAAAGTTGACATCTCTGAGTTTAGACATCGAATATTTTAACGAATTTTAAGAAGGCATTTGTAGGAAAAATGTGAGTCGAAGTCCTAAGCACATGTTTATCACACGTTTTTCGGTTTGAGTTTTGACATCGAGTTGGTCATTGTCCTTTTTAAATGGATGCCTTTGCTGCAATGTTGGCTCCAAAACTTTTATCCTGTGAGAGTTGTGGAAGCAAAGTCAACATATTTGCCATTCCATAGTCGGAATATCGCCTAGTTTTCATCTCTCTTTTGCCGCTCGTTTCTGTTGATCTGTGGAATAAACAATTGAATTTTAGTAATTCAGTTTTAGTGTTGATTTTTTAGATAATTTCGCAAAAACTTTTTAAATGGTTCAGTTATTTTGAAGAATTGTTCATCCCGGAGCCATACTTGTGAGTCGGGTTTCTAAGCCGATGTTTAGCAAATGTTCTACAACACTTGTTCTTGTGTTCAAGTTTAGTCATCGAATTGGCCATTGTAAATTTTCAATAAAAGCTTTTGCTGTTATGTCGGCTTCATACTTTTCATACAGTGAGAGTTTTGATTGCGGCAGGCAAAACCAATAGATTTGTTTTTCCAAAGTCGGAATGTTGTCGAGTTGTTATCCCTTTTTTGCTGCTCGTTTTTTTCTTTGCTCGGTGAAACCTTCACTTTGTGTATATCTGCATTCTAGTGATTCAGTTTTAATTATGATTGTCCTAGGTACTTTCGCAGAGTTCAATTAATTCAGTTATTTTGGAAATCTGCTCACCTTGGAGCCATTTTTAAAAATATTCTGAATCATGGCTCTAAGCACAGGTTCAGCAGATTTTCTTCAGCACAGTGTCGTGGGCACAGTGTCTTGGGTATAGCTGTGAGTATCTCTCTGAGAAGAATATTTTCTTGCTGATAATATTTTCTTTCTTTCGTGTCAGGTTTTTTTTGAGTTGTTTTTGGTTGTCCTTTTCTTAAAAAGTTTTGTTTTTGATCAACGCTGACTTGTGCTTATTAGGGTTACATTTTTTCCTTATAAGATCTGAACAGCATTTCGAAAAAAAAACTTTTAACCGGTTTGATCTGGTTCGGGTATATTAGGGCTTTCTGTACATGTTGGTAACGTGGTGTTGTTAGTAAGGTGCGTTGAACATTCATGCTTTTGTTTCGTTTTTCCATCCGGGTTCAAGAAAATTTTGAATTGTGTGATAGCTGATTAAAATTGTTATCAATTAGTTTATTTGTTTTGAAATTCATTTCTTTACTAAAATTGTCAAGCGAAGTTGTCAAGAGTTTACAAAAAGGGCATCATCACAAGCCGAGTTGGAGGTTTCACAAGTTTCTGCACACATGAAGAGGTTAGTTTTTCTTATTACTTATTGACTATTTTTTTACATTTTGTGACATTTTTACTACACTTCATTTTATTTCACCATTACTTTTTACTGCAGTCGTTTACCATCTTTTTCATTGAAATGATTTTTAAATCTGTTTTTTTTGTGTAAGTTGTTTTTGTGTAAAAGAAATTTGGTAATCTAGAAACGTTTAAACTGGTGGGTAAATCTTCATAGGTTTTTAATTATTACAAAATCATACTTCTGTAGAGTTGGAGTCGGAAAACATTTGTTGAGGTAGTTAGATTTTATGGTAAGTGATTTCTTTATTAGCTTTTCTTACAGGCTGATTAAATTTCTAGTGCGTAGTAGAGGCTAATTGACGTTTGAGTGCCTTGATGGTACTAAGCTCTCATTGTGTAACACTGAAACCGTGGTGAGTATTTTGGATTAGACGAGAGAGTTTGTGGTTCAAATTCGTGTCATTGACGCTTTCTACCAGTGGGACTTCAACAGCTTGAATGTTTTCGTGTGGGGTGATTATGGGGCGGGAGTAATTAAAAGGAAAACCTTAGAGAGGGGGCAAAAAGATCAATTTAGTTGGACGGGAGTGTAGTTGAGGAGGATACCGTGCATGTTAGAGTTTTTGATGCACCAAGCAAATTTTAACAACCAAAGTGATGATGCGTATTTAGAACTTATAAACATGAATTGGATGAATTGGTGGTGTGGGTTACGTGAAATTGAGCTTTGCAGGAAGTGCTTTAAATGTGTAACGTTTATGATGTGGGTTTGTTTTTTTTTGTAACATTAATTTATGTGAGCAGTCAATCTATTTCTTTTGGAGTCAAAAAACTAAAGGTTAGTTGGAAAGTGTCTTATGTTTTAATTGTTTGAGGGCACAATCAATGAAATGTTTGAAAATTTTCTTTTATTTCTGTGGAAATGGAAAAAAAATCAATTATTTTGAAAAATTGCTCTGTTGGTTTGAACTTACAGCAGGTTTCTGTCAAACAAGGATTTTTCTATGTATCGGGTGACAGTGTTCGTAGTGAGTTCTGGGGAAGTGGCGGAACCCGCATGCTTTGAAACGATCGAGGATTTGTGTTAGAATAGTGTCCATTTCGTAACCTAGAGCGAAGACAGGTGCATTCTTAATCATTCGCTGGTATTGACCGAGTAGCGAGACAAAGGTTGACATCTCTGAAATTAGACATCGAATGTTTCAAAGAATTGTAAGGAGGCATTTGTAGGAAAAATGTGAGTCAAAGTCCTAAACAGATGTTTAGCACATGTTTTTCGGTTTGAATTTGGACATCGAGTTAGTCATTTTCCTTTTTCAATAAATACCTTAGCTGCGATGTTGGTTCGAATTGTTATCCCTTTTTTTCTGCTTGTTTTTTTTTGCTCGGTGAAACCTTTACATTATGTATATCTGCATTTTAGTGATTCAGTTTTAATTATGATTGTCCTGAATATTTTCGAGAAGGCTTTTAATTAGTTCAGTTATTTTGAAAGTCTGCTCACCCTGGATCAAGTTTTAGGAAAATTGTGAACCACGGTTCTAAGCACATGTTCAGCAGACTTTCTCCAGCACAGTGTCTTGGGCTATTCGGGGTATACTTGTGAGTGTCTCCTTGAGTAGAGTTTTTTCTTGTTTTTAACTTTTTTCTTTTGTGTCAGGTTCTTTTCAGTTGTTTTTTGGTTGTCCTTTTCTTAAAATTGTTTTGTTTTTGATCAACGCTGACTTGGGTTTATTAAGAATTCATTTGGTCCTAATAAGATTTGACTTGCACTTCAAAAAGAATTTTTAACTGGTTTGATCTGGTTTGGGTATATCAGGGCTTTCTGTACATGTTGGTATTGTGGTGGCCTTAGTATGGTGCGTTGAACATAGCAGCTTTTGTTTCGTTTTTTGACCTGGTTTAAGAAAATTTTGAAATGTGTGATAGCTAATTAAAATAGTTATCTATTAGTTTGTTTGTTTTAAAATCCATTTACTTGCTACAATTCTCTTGCGAATTTGTTAAGAGTTTCAGGAGAGTTTACAACAAGAGCAACATCAAAAGCCAAGTTGGAGAAATCAGAAAATTTTGCACACATGAAAAGGTTAATTTTTCTCCTTACTCATTTACTAATTTTTTCATTTTTTGACAATTTTACTACACTTGAGCTATCAATTTAAATTAGGTTGTAAATTTTATTTTACCATGACTATTTACTGCAGTCGTTTGCCACTTTTTTTAATGTTTTACAAATCTGTTTTTATTTTGATTATATTTCTTGGTTTTTAAAGATTTTGATAAAAACGTAAGAGAAATTTGGTAACTTAGAATCGTGTAAACTGGTGAGTAAATCTTTCAACAGGTTTTTAAAAATTACAAAATCATACTTATGTAGAGTTGTCGTCGGAAAACATCCATTCGGGAAGTTAGATTATATGGTAGGTGATTGCTTTATTAGCATTGCTAACAGGCTGGTTACACTTCTAGTTCTTAGTAGAGGCCAAAGAAACTTAAGTGCCTTGATGATACAAAGTTCTCCTTGTGTAACACAAAGATTGTTTGTGATTCAAATTCGTATCATGGACGCTTTCTAGCAGTATGACTTCAACAGCTTGAATTTTTTGGTGCGGGAAGATTATGGGGCTGGAGTCCTTAAAGGAAAACAATAGTGAGGGGGCAAATTCATACATTTGTTGGACGGGAGTGTAGTTGAGGATGATACCGTGCACGTTAGATTTTTTGATGCACTGAGCCAAAGTTAACAACCGAGGTGATGATGTGTACTCAGAAATTATAAAAATATTATGGTGGTGTGGGTAACGTGAAGTTAATTTTTGTAGGAAGTGCTTTAAACGTGTAACGTAATTGTGTTTTTTTTTCTAACAATAACTTATGTAAGCAGTTAATCTATTTCTTTTAAAGTCAAAAATTAAATGTTAGTTGGAAAGTGTCGGAGCTGCTGAGGTAAATTTCTGTTGTTTTAATTGTTTTGAGCGCATAATCGATGAAATGATTGAAATTTTTCTATTATTGATTTGGAAATGGACAAAATAATCAACTATTTTGAAAAATTGTTCTGTTGGTTTTGAATTTACAGCAGGTTTGTATCAACCAGCGAATTGTCTATGTATCGGGTAAGTGTGTTCGTAGTGACCTCTGGGGAAGTGGCTGAACTCTCATGTTTTGAAACGAGTAAGGATTTGTGTTAAAATAGTGTCAATTTCGTAACATAGAGCAAAACCAGGTGTTTTTTAACTATTCGTTGGTGTTGACCGAGTTACGAGACAAAGGTTGATATCTCTGAGCTTAGACACTGAATATTTTGAAGAGTTTCCGGGATGCAATTGTAGGAAAAAAATGTAAGTCGAAGTCCTAAGCACATGTTAGCACACGTTTTTCGGTTCGAGTTTGGACGTCGAGTTGGTCATTGTCCTTTTTAAATGAATGCCTTTGCTGCAATGTTTGCTCCAAAAATTTTATCCTGTGAGAGTTGTGGAAGCAAAGTCAACATATTTGCCATTCCATAGTCGGAATATCGCCTAGTTTTCATCTCTCTTTTGCCGCTCGTTTCTGTTGCTCTGTGGAATAAACAATTGAACTTTAGTAATTCAGTTTTAGTATTGATTTTTTAGATAATTTCGCAAAAACTTTTAAATGGTTCAGTTATTTTGAAGAATTGTTCATCCCGGAGCCATACTTGTGAGTCGGGTTTCTAAGCCGATGTTTAGCAAATGTTCTACATTACTTGTTCTTATGTTCAAGTTTAGTCATCGAATTGGCCATTGTTATTTTTCAATAGATGATTTTGCTGTAATGTCGGCTTCATACTTTGACTGCGGTAGGCAAAAACAAAAGAATTGTTGTTCCAAAGTCGGCATGTTGTTGAGTTGTTATCTCTTTTTTGATTCTCAATTTTTTTGCTCTGTGAAACCTTCACATTATCTATATCTGCATTTTAAGATACAGTTTTAATTATGATTGTCATAGATACTTTTGCAGAAGGCTCTTAAGTAATTCAGCTATTTTGAAAAAGTGCTCGGCCTGGAGTCAATTTTAGGGGAAAAAATGAATCACGGTTCTAAGCACATTTTCAGCAGATTTTTTAAGCACAGTGTCGTGGGCTTGTCGGAGTATACTTGTGAGTGTCTCTTTGAGCAGAGTATTTTCTTGTTTATTTTGTTTTTCCTTCTTTTGTGTCATGTGTTTTTTCATTGGTTTTTTGGTTGTCCTTTTCTTAAAAACATTTTGTTTTTGACCAACGCTGACTTGGGCTTATTAGGGTTTCAATTTGACTTGCACTTCAAAAGCGTAGTTTAACCGGTCTGATCTGTTTTGATTATAAAAGGGTTTCCTGTAAATGTTGGTAACTTGGTAATCTGGTGGCGTTAGTAAAGTGCGTTGAACAATCAAGCTTTTGCTTTTTTTCCAACTGGTTTGAATAAAAAATTGAATTGTGTGAAAGCTAATTAAAAGTGTTATCACTTATTTTGTTTGTTTTAAAATTCATTTACTTGCTACAATTCTCGTTCGAAGTTCCTAAGAGTTTTCAGGAGAGTTTACAAAAAGAGCAACATCAAAAGCCCAGTTGGAGATTTTACAAACTTCTGCACACATCAAAAAGGTTAGTTTTTCTTATTACTCATTTATTAAGTTTTTTACGTTTTGTGACAATTTTACTATATTTGAGCTAGCAATTTATTTTAAGTTGTAATTTTTTTTCACAATTATAGCTTACTGCAGTCATTTAGCAGTCTTTATCGAAATGGTTTACAAATATGTTTTTAATTTGTTTAAATTTCTTGATTTTAAAAAGTATTGATCAAATCTAAAAGAACCGTGTAATCAAGGTTTCATCAAAAAATTTTAAAATCAAGAAATTTAAACAAAAAAGCAGATTTGTGAACCGTTTCGATACAAATTGCTAAAGGACTGCAGTAAACTATAATGGTGAAAAAAAAGAAAACTTAAAATCAATTGATTGGTAGAATTGTGTAAATTGGTCAGCAAACCTTCAAAAATTTTTAATTATTACAAAATCATACTTATGTAGAGTTGGGATCGGAAAACATCCATTGGGAAGTTAGATTGTATGGTAGGTGATTTCTTTAATAGCTTTGCTAACAGGCTGTTTACACTTCTAGTGCTTAGTAGAGGCCAAAGAAGCTTAAATGCCTGATGATACTAAGTTCTCTTTGTGTAACACTGAAACCGTGGTGAGTATTTTGAATTAGATTAAAGAGTTTGTGATTCAAATTCGTATCATGGGCGCTCTCTAGCCTATGAATCCAAAAGCTTGAATTTTTTCGTGTGAGAAGATTATGGGGCGGGAGTCTTTAAAAGGAAAATCTTAGTGAGGTGGCAAGTTTATACAATTGTTGGACAGGAATGTAGTTGAGGAGGATACCGTGCATGTTAGAATTTTTGATGCACTGAGCGAAACTTAACAACCAAGGTGATGATGTGTACTAAGAGTTTATAAACATATAATGGCGGTGTGGGTAACGTGAAATTGATCTTTGTAGGACGTGCTTTATATGTGCAACGTTTATGATGTGTGCATGTTTTTTTTCTAACAATAATTTATGTAAGCAGTTAAACTAATTCTTTTGGAGTCAAAAAACTAAATGTTAAATGTAAAATGTCGGAGCGGTTGAAATAAGTTTCTAATGTTTTAATTGTTTGAGCGCATAATCAATGAAATGATTGAAATTTTTTTCTTATTGCTTTGGAAATGGAAAAAATAATCACTCATTTTTTGAAAAACTGTTCTGTTGGTTTTGAGTTTACAGCAGGTTTGTATGAAAAAGTGAATTTTCTATGTATCGGGTAAGTGTGTTCGTAGTGACCTCTGGGGAAGTGGCTGAACTCTCATGTTTTGAAACGAGTCAGGATTTGTGTTAAAATAGTGTCAATTTCGTAACATAGAGCGAACCCAGGTCCATTTTTAACTTTTCGTTGGTGTTGATCGAGTAGCGAGGCAAAGGTTGACATCTCTGATCTTAGTCATTGAATATTTTAAACATTCAATACTTTTACTGCAGGTTTGTTTCGAATAGTGAATTTTCTATATATCGGACGACAGTGTGTTCATAGTGAGCTCTGGGGAAGTGGCTGAATCCGCATGCTTTAAAATGACTGAGGATTTGTGATAAATCAAAGTTCGTTAAGTTTTTAGCTGTAAAAGATTAGTGAGTTGGGTGGTGACTTGCTGTCATTTATTTTTAACGGTTTCCCAATCGAAGAGTGGTACACTGAGTGGATTGGGGAACTTGTAGAAACAAAACCAAGAGGGTGTCAGAATTAATGTACGTTCCTCTGCATTATGGCTATGGGTGAGAGTTTTTTGGCCTGTGGCTTCTTGGTTATCACTGCAACACTGTGCGAAAAATTAGATGCAAGCATTTAGAAATTCATGAGAATTTTTATGTCTATAATAGTGGCTTTGGAGGAGTATTGATGTGGAAGAGGCATTCGACTAAAGATTTGGGTGATTTTGATGTTTTTCCTCTTCATTATTTTACATTGTGCACGGGTGGAAAGAATGTTGCGCGCGGTGTTGCGAATGCATGATTTTGACATTTCTGAGGATGAGGCGGAGTGGGTTAGTTGGTGTAATGATTGATTGATGTTCTGAATTGGGTTTTTCAAATCTTCTAAAGCGTCCTCTATTTGGTCGTCGGCTATTGCGCTTGTGGTGTCCTTAAGAGTGTCAAAATTGAAGAAAGACCCGCAGAGACATCGAAACATGAGGAACTTGAGTTGTCTGCAAAAATAAAAATTGTAGAGAATACCAATACTACTAGATTCTTGCGTATGGGTTGACAAGGTTTGCATGGTCGAGTGTACATAAGTTCTTGGAAAGTTATGTAGTTTTTGTCAAGTGTTTACCAATAACGTATTATGCGTGTGAATTTAATCAGAATTATGATTATTTATCTAAAACAGACTGACTTTTTCGAGAAGACTCCAGTATTTTCACTACCATTTCTTAATGTACATCACATACCAGATGCATAATGTGTAAGTGTGAATTTTTTCACGTTTCTGAGCATAAGTATTCGGACGTTTTTTTGTGTGTGTTCTTTTTTGTTTTACGTACGATCTCAAGTAACTTTCGATAAAACTGTATTTTTGTACACACTAAGTGAAGCCATTTAAGACGCTCATGCACAGTTAAAACTATAAATATAGCTCAAACTTCGTTTTATTGTTTATCTTTTTATGCACGAACTTTTTGCATGGACTTCCATGCAGCAGATACTACAGCTCTACTTTTACCCACATGTGGCTTTGCTTGCGTTTTTGAGTAGTGTACGTATATTTGTAATCTATTTTTTGTATTATTTTGTTCATATGTAATCTTTCTGTTTGTTTTTGTATTACTTTTTCAGGGTATATTTTCACATATGCGTTTAACAAAAACAATTGAGATGTATAATTTTCCTTAAATGTAACTAAATAAAACTCCACTTTGTTTTTGCTAGAATGTCTGAAAAACTAAATTTTTCTACAGTTACAATTTAATTACAACACTTTTATCAGATTTTATGCATGCGATTGCGTGCGTGTTTATGTATGTAATTATTATAGAACTTTTGAAATGTGAAAGTTTTGCGTTCCAACCTTAAAATTCGAGGACCCATTTGCATACATTTTCGATTCGAAACATGATTTTTTTTGGCTTTTTTGTATATTTTTTGAAAATTACGAAACATTTTGCATACAATTGAATTAAATTTTTTTTTAAGTTTTTTGCATCATTTTCAAAAACTGTTTTTTGCATAATTTGGAAAAAACAAGAGTAATTACTGCACCAAACTCCAATACGGAACTTTTGCATCTATTTAAAATACCTATAATTTTTTTTTTACAATATATCTTAAGAAAACTGATTTTACCTCAAGAAATGATAGCATTGCTTGCTAAAGTTTTTTAAAAGCGTTTTTTACCAGATTTTGTTTAGTTTTACCCTTGCTTAGACTGTTCATGATTTTGTTTTTTTTTTTCATTAGGCTCGGCGGAATCTTTAATAATTCTCGGTTACTTTACCAAAAACGAGGTATTTTACAAGGCTTTAAGCGATTGTACTTTCTAAAGAAAATGCTTTTCCCCCAACGATTTAGGAAATACAAGATCGTTGAACCTCTTGTTCAGGTTTGACGCAGTCAATTTTTTTTCTAAAGAACTCATAAGATATACTGGTAGGATTACTTAATCTAAGACTTAAGTAATCTTAACGTTTCTTAAGAAATTTTTTTGAAAGTAACTAAAAAAAGAAAAAGTTGCTATGAGATAAATCTGTCTGAAGTGTTTTCACAGTTTCGACTGTTAAGACTATTTTCTCGGTAGATTTCTCCTGTCTGAAGTCAAAAATAGCGTTCTTAACAGTCAAAAATGTGAAAACATTTCAATGAAAACTTGAGATTTCTGAAGATAACTTAAAATGCAGAGAAAAGAAATGTACCAAGATAACGGTCTTGTCAAAGAAAATTATGAAAAAAATATTAGTAATTAAGTAATCTTTTAACTCAAGAGTTAATTCAAGAGCTTCATTACAAATGAAGTAAGGCAAGCTCTATTTAAAAATGTTACAAGAGGTGAAAACAATATAAACTGAATTAATGATTAAATTGTTTGATTTCTTAATTATTATTTTAGCAGTCAAGACTCTCAAGTTTGTCAAAACTATCAGCGTAAGCTTCTCAAATTAAAATAGGTTTTTCAAAAAATAATAATAACTTTGATCAAAAAAGTATTCAAAAAACCAGAATGTAACAAAAGGTAGAGCAAATGAAATAAAATGAGAGAAAAGAATACTTTAGAGATTGGCAGCCACTTTAAAAGTATGAACAAAAATTAAATCAAAATATACATTGCATCATTTAAGCACACTGGAGAGATTGAATAAGCAGTTGATGAATGCATTAAAACTTGACCAAAACTTGTTTTTGATCTGAAACACTAATGATCGATCTGTCGTAGGTTCTGAAATTATAAGCTAACTGTTTTTTCATTGAGTTTTAACTCGAGTGGTAACTTATTTGATTACTTCCGATGAGTTTACGCGCATGCTTGCGTATAAAATTGAAATCAATTAACAGAAAAATTCAATATTCGAAATGTTTGCATAAAGAATAATCACAGTTGAAAAGAAATTTATTATATACAACGAAAAAATAGTAATGGTGAAATTGAATGAATTCACAATTCAGTTGTTGAAGAATTAGATCCTTATCTTCTTACGTCGTTAATTTATCAGCAGAGTACTCATCAGATCACTGAACAAACATTCTATGTAAAGATTTTTGACCGGATAAAAGCTTTTAATTTTTTTCAAAAAAAAGTTTTTGTTTGAGATCATCTTGACATTGTCAACAATCAAAACTTATCATCTACAAGCTATTGAGGGAAAAATTATGAAAAACTAAAGTAGTTTTGACAAATAGAGATTTGAAATATAATAAATTGAGATGAGTTTGCTGAGCATTTCCACGAAGCTGAGTTTCTATTTTCCACACAAGGGCTTTGTAGTAAAACTTAGGAACTGTTTTGTAACATTCGTCTACTTCGGTCACATATGAGGCTTAAGAAAAATAGGCCCTATAACCATTGGCTCAGGAGTCAGGGACACTATCTCTTGTGTTTTTCTACCTCAAAACGGTCGGAGCCAATTCGGTTCACTTGCGACATGAGACTAAAACCCGTTACAGCTTAGAGGCCACTACCAAAATATCCCCCCACTCTAGAAATAAGAACGTCCCCATACTTAGGTCTCTAAATACCCAAAATACATGAACGCCGTTAAAAACAGGGTCGGAACAATCCTTACGGTTACTTTTTATTAGAAAGTGGACCTTTGATCCATTTCAGATGGATCAACCTAAAACTCGGCTTATCTCAACATAACTATCACAAAATACACTCGGAAAAATTAAATTAGGTTTTCACATAGCAGCAAACTTGAGAATTAGAGTAATTAGGCTAATTAGTAACTCTAGCATAAATAGGATTGAATATAACTTGCTTGAGAAGATTGCTATCAATGAATTCCAATCAAAAGAAATGAGTTTCTTCCCCCCAGATTTCACTTAAGTCATCCCTCTGCTCTTTCGGCACTGTTCCTCGGATTTTTCTCAATAACCTGTGTGAGTGATGCGACATCCGAGCCAATTTTACGCACTTGGGCACCGAGAAGGCCTTGTCTATTAATACCCTTTTGTGCAATGGGTAGTGGCTGCCGCATAGGTTGGCCATCACTGACCCCACTAGGGACTTCGCATTTAGAGGCAGACCATAGGCTTCGCTCATAGGAAATCCCATTTCCGCCTCAATCCCGACCTTCCAGCTTTTGATATGTTTCTGGGTTACCTGCAACACCCCGGGCCATGACTCCACGCTCAACGCGGTCTCCAAATGGTGTTCAGACTCTAGCCTGTCCAGTGACTGCAGACTGCACATCCTTGAGAAGAATCCCAGAGCTGTTGCTATGTTCACAGGGGTACTCGGGTAACACTCAGCCACTATCTGCACTTCACTCTTCTCCCTCTCTGTGATGTCTTCAAACCAAGTGACTAGATCTTCTTTTTGGAAGGATTGTATCCTAACGCATGACCGTCCATCACAGGTGTGCTCGCCACTCCCACACGTCGAACCAAGACAACTACCCGGCTCCATCTTCTTCGCCGACCCTGGTTTGCTCGTCGCTTCGCCTGACTCCTTCACCTGAGGCAAGATCAACTTGTGCACTATACTCAATGTTGCCAGATCTTCGTCCTCCGTCGGTGCTAACCTCACTCGCTCCGTGACTTCCTCGATCAGGCTCGCGTGGGGATGTGGGCACCAGGAGGGCCTTAGCGATTTCTACACCACTCACAAATTCGTGACTAACATGCCGTTCCCGTAACCCATCTTCAGCCCGACTTTTTTACTTGAGCGCGGCACGCTTATCACCTCTGGTGTTTTCTCGAGAATCAAGCCCAAGCTTGGTCTCTCTTTCTCTCTCTCTCTCTCTCTCTCTCTCTCTCTCTCTACTGTGGCTACTTCCACTATCTTCTCTGTGCAAAACATTAGTAGCTCCGCTACATCGTAGTTCATGTGAGCGCCTCCGGCTTCCGAGTCCAAGAAAGGGTTGTACGCCGTGCCCATTACTCCAGACACGTACTGATATTCTCCCTTCTTATTGGGTTTCGAGTACTCTCCCGACGAGGCCAAGTTAGGGTGTACGTCGAGTCCCTCCTGAAACTTCTTGTTGTAAAATCTCCGTATCTTGTCTAACTTTCTGTGGCTTTCTAGAGACTGCTTGGAACCATCCTCCTTTTCTATCCCAGTACTCTGGTATACAATCAAGATGACTGCTGAGATTCTCTTTTCCACTGTCTTACTTCCAATTGCTCTTTGTTGACATGCTAGGATGGTACTGTCGGTCATCACCGACATTATCCACCTCAAGAAACAAGTAGCATCTTTCCTTCTTGCCAGG